CCCATGAAGGTACATCGATCCACGGATACGAGCAATCTGGATGGCAATCTTCTACATGATGACTACGGACGCAACTACAGCCCTGATGACAAGGATCACGACTATCGCCGGAGGCACGTTGTCAATGATAACCGTGGCTACACATCTGACCCGCCTTCTCCACCAATTGTCGACAAGCCTCCGGAGTATTCGCAGGTTTTGCAAGGGCCGGATCACCTCGCTCGCCCATCGTCGCTCAACACGCAACCAGGTCAGATTATATTCTGCAGCTCACTGGATCAGATGAAGGAGAACATGTACCGTACTATGGTACCAACTCTTGTGATCCCGGCCCACTACATGAGGCTTTCTTCTGAGTTTAGTGCCACAGATCAGGGTAAAGATGGGGCAAACCAAGCAGACCGAGATGGACAGAGTTCGCAAGGTACCAACAGTGGGATTCAAGGCCAAAACCACCAAAACCAGACCCCTGGTTCAGGCCATGCAGAAGCCCAACAAGGCGATTCTCCAGCAGGCTCTGACGAGAGTGATTGGCCCCCCGGTGGACCACCAGCACCGGTTCACATCCCTGTTTTGTTCAATGACTCCACCATCTCCCAGATGAACGGGGAGTTGCAAGCGCTCACAGAGAAGAAGCTTCTGGAACTGGGGGTGAAGCAACACCCTCGTGCCTGGTTTATATCTCTCGACGGACACGCCAACGCTCACGTGCGCCACTCGTACATAGATGTAGGTGCCAGTCTCAGCCATAGCGGAACACATAGTGGCAACCACAGCGCCCAAAGCACGTTGAGCGCCCCTGCCGGGAGTAGTAAGGACCGAAACGTAGACACAAGTCTCCAAGACACCCAGCATGGGCGCAAGTCCGTATCCAGTCGCAAGAACAAAGAGGAACACCATGGAAGCGGGCGCAAAGGCCATGGAGGAAGTAGCTCCAGCAGCACAAGTGGCGGGAAACACTACTCCAAACCAACCTACCATGACCCTCTGGACCTAAGTGGAGGAGTGAGCCGCATGGGAGCCAGTTCGCCATTGGAAAACCCATTGACCCCTCTTTTGGATGACGGTCCTGAGGAACCAAGGGGGTCTTCAATGCCGAGAAGGGGTCGAAGCCGGGGGAACAGCTCACGTAGTAGCAACAGCGAAACGCCATGTGACTCCGTCACCAGCCCGGAAGATGACAACGACCTGGATGACAAGGATGAGAACAAGAAGAGTCCCTGGCAGCGCATTGAAGAGCGCCCCCTAATGGTGTTTAATGCCAAGAAATAGAGTGAGAAATCAATCACAGCAGCTGCCTTGAATAATTGGACTAACTAGAGATGTGTTCAAATTGATAATGACTCTGAAAGTTTTACAAACGTCACCCAATGATATTTTCATGAACCGACTATTTGTGTCGTTATAATTTGATAGACGTTTCCAAAATGATTGTTGTGCCATTGGATTTGTTTTTGTCTTTCGATGACAACGTACTTTCACTGATCAATTTGAATGCATCTCAGGGGTCAAAAAACACAAATTTGGTGGCATCATATCATACCATCTCAGTGTTTTGCACACCAAGAATCACATTAAATTCAAGAAGTTATAGTAAAAAGATGCCATTGCAGATGGAGGAACACAAGATACCAAACAACAGGGCGAGTGCATTAAAATAAAGCACAACACAACATGCTGGTCTACAACAGGAAGACTTTATCTTACAGTCCACAAAGACATTATCTTACAGTCCCTCTATTTCCATACCAATCAGACTCTTACAAACGATTGCATCCAAAAGTACCCGAGTACCTTTTCACTCTCAATGGCTTGGTGATAGACTTTTTCAATGGATGGCTTTCGCTAAAGCTTGAGTCTTCAATATATTGGATCAAGAACTTGATGTTTTCCAAAACTTCTTGTAAAACTTTTACAGACCCATTTTCTTATGTTCTGATGCAGTATATTCCTTGGTATCTCTTCCCAACTTGCCGTTCTTCTACCTTCGATACTCATTATTTTGATGTCAATTTCAATTTTCTTTCTATCTTTCATACTATTTTATATGTTTTGTGCATTGCTAATCTGAAATTTACAGTTCAGGTTTCAAACATTCCAGATTTTTTACTGTTTGTCCTTAAGTAGATTAATTAAAATAAGAAGGCTTAGAGTTCACATTTATGTGATGTTATAGAAATTTCTAAGTCATTACACAATGCATTTTCGATTTATTGTATTATATGTTATGCCACAGCACATTTTCCACTCCAATGCTGTTCTTGAATATAGTCTTTGAAAAATGTGGTAGGCCTAAACTTAGCACTTGTTGCATTAAAGTGCAGATTTGTATAGGAAAAGCTGATTCCGAATCGGGACCCCAATCTCACTTACAGTGAAAAAGCATTGACTGCGTTACAGTAGATATGAATGTACGTTCACCACAGTTAGCATTTTCAGTCCAGCTTTTCATTTGTTTAAAAGAGAGCCATTAGCATTTTGTGTATATGTATGATAGCCTATATGTGCATGAGATAACTAGTATAGGACAACAGATTTTTTATGCCTACAAATTAAAATAGACACTATCAAAGCATGAAGGTGGATAATAGGTGCATCTGCTACAGATGCCTGATGGGAAGAAATTTGCCAAAATTTCTAATGAAATATTATATGCCAGTTTACAGGCCAGTGTTTGGCCAATGTACTTCAATCCGAACTTTTCCAGCGCTGTTAATATTCACATTGTCTGCATTGCATTGACTGTGACAAAATTCTGACTCGGATCTTTTTAATAAGCCATTCAAATATTAAAAGCTAATCATTTATGACACTTCTTGACTGTTACTTTTCTATTTACGATTTTTAAAACTATAATTTTCCCCATGTTTTCCATTATTAAAGCAAGCACAAGACATGTAATTTATAAAGCAACATTTTATGAATAATTAAGACAGGGTACCATAAGGAGCGTGAAGGCTGAGACACTCAAGAGCTATTTGACGACTATCAAACATAATACAAAGAGACTTTAACTAAAATAGCTCTGCTCATGCTGATCTGGTGCCAATCACACGTAGAGCAGTGATTAACGCTGTCTCTTGTGATGATTGTCAACTTGCCACAAATGACACCACTGTTGCAACATGTCTCATATGTGTGTCATTTGTTTTGCAACCCTTCATAACTTCCTTATAATAACTGGAACTGAGATGAAGTACTGGATTATCTTATACTAAGTAGGCGATTAAGAGTGAGACTTAACATCTAGTGTAAGCTGCAGTGGTGGAATTCTTAAGAGGATTTTAGTATGTTTTATATTATATACTAGGTGCTGAAACCCTTAAACCTTACATACTGACCCACAATTTCACTGATTTTAGATTTGCACACTCTTTTTAGCATGAGTTTCACTCAAACCTACTAGAACTGAAATCAAAGCCATTCTCTTCCTCTGTCTGTTTATATTTTGTTCACAGCCTGTGGGTAAATTTTCACAGGAAATCTCGATATGCCTTTGTCAATGTACATTTATCACGTGATGTGGTGCTCTGAAACACATTTCTCCCTGTACTGTGTAAATATTTCTCTCTCTGACTGAATATGAATATGACTCTGATGATATTATGATGTTGTTTCCATTGTGCACAACGTCTTTGCTTAATTGTTCTAAAATCATGTCAGATGGAACTTTTGCAATTTTATAGTTTGTTCATAATATCCTAGAAAAAAGATCACATGTGAAATGGACTGTTTCACTTCTGACGTGTCCGAAAGTCATGTGCTGTACAATAAAGAAATTCCATTTTTTGTGGGTTTTTTCCTGCATTTCTGTTGTTATTAAAAACAAAACTCAAAGTAATCCTGCATTTTCACACATGGAATATTGTGTAATTTCCCATGTTTCGTAAGTATTAATAGTTTAGAACTTTTAGGTATTTTTAAAACTTGTACTGGTTAAACATAATAAAGGCCAAAGGTCATTATAAAAATGTAAAAACTGCATCGATGCAACAAGGAAAAACATTATACATGAAACTTATTAAAAGAGTGAATTCACTTCAATGACACCTGACGTTACCTGTAGACCAGATATTGATATAGAAATACATTACCTTCCCAGATTCACAAGCTTTTTTGCACTAAAGTCTGGCATGATCTTTGGAGAAGTTTGATCCTTTAATTTTTTTTAGAAAAAATACATATACTTTAATACATACACTTCAATTAAAACAAAATGTAAGGGACAATAATTAGATGTATTATCATACACCAGGTCTGAAAATGACTTAGGACCTCTGGTCTACACTCAGAAAAGTACAAAAAACGTACAAAAGTTGTCACTGGGGCGGTACCTTTTCAAAAGGTACACCTTTGTACCTTTTTATTCCTAAGGGGTGCATATTGTTACTTTAAAGGTACATATTAATACCTTTGCGGTATATAGTTCTAGCTAATTAAACACAGTCAAACTGGTTAATAATAGTCCTTATGCTCACTAGAAAACTAGACGCAGTGTGTTGGAACAAGATTAACTGGTAGATCTAGTTCTAGGTTGACCACCTTTGTTCCATCACCTTGGGTGGAGGTTAAAAACATTATTTGTTTAAAAAGAAGGATTGATTCATTGTCTACAAGCGTAGAGAAATGGCATAAGAAAACCACACATTGTGTTGGATAAAATCATTAACCAAATGTCAAAACAGTGCAAGGTTTTTCAATATAGCCTCTTGGAAATCTACCATTTCTGCTCTTGTTCTGAAATGCCTGTCTGTCATTGCACAAATACCAAAGATGGCGTTAAACCAGTTTGTTGGTTCAGGCAGGTGTTTAGCAGTCATTATAAAATGGATGGAAATGAAGACGTTTTTACTTAAAAACGTCTACATTCTTATCCTTCTTTATGAAAAAAATAATCAACGTTCGCTGAACACCCAGAAATAGCTATGTTTTTCAAACCAGGTTCGTCGTTGCGCTCCAGGCCGCGTGGCGGCGCTTATTTGACGCGTTGCATTCGTTTACAAAGAGGAGGAAGAGAGACGTTACATTCAAGTGCACAGGTCAATGTTATGTACACAAATAATGGGATTATATTTATCCAGCATTATTATAGAGCCCTCAAACCCTTTAGATACTTTCTATTAACCGCCATATTTGTGTTTTGAGGCTTCTTTGCTCCGTTTTCTTGTATATCTATGCAGAACCGTGTTTATAATCTCTGTTTCCAGCATATGAAGTAGGTCATTGCTGTTGGGTAAGTGCTTTTTCTGTATATTTTTAACATTTTTAAATGTCAGTGCTGTTTATTAACGTCGTTAGTCACATTATTTTTGTGGTATGGGTGATTTTTAACCCAAGCTAAATTTGTTAACTAATTTAACTTAAGTTTTACCACTTAATGTCCAGCTATAACAAGACATCTATCATAATGCAAGTCATTACTGTAATTAGAAATGTTGTTTGAATCTAGGTTACCTATTACTCGTGTATTTACATATTTATGAGCCCAAATTTTAATTGAAGTTCCAGTAGAGGCCGCTAGAAGGCGCCAACGACCAATATTCATCTGCCATATACTGTATAATGAGATGTTAGAGGGTAAATAACTCTGATTTGTGTGTTTCAGCATGTTTCTGGTGGGGTTAACCGGAGGCATCGCCTCAGGGAAGAGCACAGTGTCTTCTCAGCTGAAAGAACTGGGCTGTCCCGTCATCGATGCAGATGTGGTGGCCCGGAAAGGTGTTTAGTGCTTGTTCGTCTTTAGTATATTATAACATTATTTTGTAAAGAAATTCATAGGGTTTTGTGTTTTGAAAAAAAATTATTTAAAATCATTTGATAAAAAAAGATAGGCACCATTTAGAGAACTAACTTGAAGCATTTAAAAAATAATTAAAATAGTTTTTAACCCCTTAACTGTCACCTCCCTACCTGTGGGACGCTTGGCGCCCTTTTTTTGTTGTTGTCCTTTTTCTCTATCAAATCTTTTAGTAATCATCATAACCGTTTAATCATATCGTTTGAAAGCTTAGAAGCCCAAGATTCATCCTGTGAAAACCATTTTGAAATCGGACATTGCGTTACCATGGAAATTGTACTTTAAAATCTTTTGGCAGTCTCCTACCCCTTAGTAATTTTTTGAAAAAATTCCACTTTTGCAATAATCTGCAGATTTTCTTCTTTAAAAAGAGACCAACCTTTGGGGGGGGGTAACAGTTAAGGGGTTTCTTCTTTAAAAAGAGACCAACCTTTGGGGGGGGTAACAGTTAAGGGGTTAATATATAATAAATTAATGAAAAATAAAAGAAATAAAATTCAGTTTAAATTAAAAAACTTATATAACTTTAGTAAGTGTGTATTCTAGATTCATTTTTATAACTTAAATATTAAATAAATATATAAATGTAATTATAATGTGTATAGATTTTATTTCATTTAATAATATAAATATTTTTTGTTATTAAGAAATTTGAAAAAAAATATACACACACACACACTAAATGATTTAAAATTTGTAAAAAATTAATTCTATATTTCGTATTTAATACATATTTTATAAAATATTTAATATAGATTTTTAACAATTTTTTTATATTTATTTAATGATATTATTTATTTAATATACATTTATTTATTTAATACATGCTTTAATTGTGTGATTTTTCTCTGTGTATCAGTGGTGGAGCCCCAAAGCCCAGCGTTCAGACTGATCGAGCAGCATTTTGGACGTGAAATTTTGTTAGACAATGGCGAGATTGACAGACAGAAACTGGGGCAGATCATCTTCTCCAGCCCCGAGAAACGAAAACTTCTCAACTCCATCACACACCCAGAAATACATAAAGAAATGTTCAAACAAATACTGCTGTACTTCCTTAAAGGTATACTCACACATGCATAAAATCAAATAAAAAAATAAGTGTGCCAAAATCTCATGAATTTATGGTTTTTGCTGGTTGTTCTTTAGGCTACAGATATGTGATTTTGGATGTGCCGCTGCTTTTCGAAACACGACGTCTCACCCGTTTCCTAACCCACACTGTTGTTGTATACTGGTATGATGTTCATTTTCTCTCTTTCACTTTCTTTGTTTCATGAATTGCTATAACATAAGTCAGATTGGGTTGTGTGTTACTGTCGTTTTTAAAGCAAATAAAGGGTCTTTCAGTGTTATACCATTAATTTTCTTAAATTGTTTTAAAATTTTTTTCTTTTTAAAATGTTTTTGTTTTTTATTACTTGTTTAAAAATGTTATTTATTTACAATTTTTTTTTTTTTTTTTTTTTTTTTAATTTTAGTTCTTCAGCTTTTCAGGGAAAGAAGTTTTTTTTGTAATTTTTAATGTAATATTTATTTTACTTTTTTTGTAATATTTTATTTTGTATTTTATTTCAGCTGTATTATAGTTAACAGTTGCAAATCATTTTAGTTAACAGTAATAAGCCTGGGCTCTTCACCTCATGTGTCTGTGTTTTGGCAGTGACCCGGCGACGCAGCTGTCCCGTCTCATGCAGAGGGACGGTTTGAGTCAGGAGGAGGCTGAACAGAGGATCGGCGCTCAGATGCCCCTCAAAGAGAAGCGTGGACTCGCCAGTCACGTGATCGAGAACTCGGGCTCTCGCGAGGACACTCACAGACAGGTGCTGCGGCTGCACACCAAGCTCGAGGACTCCATGGAGTTCCTGGTCGTCAGGGCCGTCGCCGTGGCAGCCGTCGCCGGGCTCGGCGGTCTGTTTTTATGTACAGTCAGACTGCTGGTCTCTTAGCAAACGTACAGAAGTGCTTCCAATGGGTCTTAAAGGGATAGTGCACCCAAAAATCAACATTCTGTCAACATTTACTCATTATATGTGGTTTTCTTTCTTCTGTGGAATACATTTTGACAGTGAACAACATTGGAAACCATTAACTCTCAGTGTGTGGACAGAAAAATCCCAAAATATTTATTTTTAATGTTCCACAGAAGAAAGTAAAGTCATATAGGTTTGTAACAATGTGAATAAATTATGATAGAATTTAAATTTTTCAGTAAAAAAAACAAACAATGAAGAATATGATTTTATATTCTAACATGATATATATATATATATATATATTTGATGTTTAACCTCACTTTGTTGTTGATATTCTGACCTCACCACCGTCAGCCTGAGCTACATAAAAGGCCACATTTACGGTTATTTGATTGCACAGGCTGCGTAACTCTATAATCAACACAATGATTGTGATATTAGTCCTAAATGTAACATACTGTATAAAACGGAACTATGACAACAATGCTACTTTTTTAGCTCGACACACATTTAATTATGAATTCACGCATACATGAAATGGACCGAATGTATTGATATCTTCTGCTGCTCTTTGTTAATATCAGATGTTTTCATCTATATCTGAATTTACAAAATGTCACAACTTGATCTGTTGCAGTAAATTCATTCTTTGTGATGCTAAATGACTCATCCAGTGATATGCATGCGTAAAATATATACATATATATATATAACAATAGGAGAATCGCTTTGATGTAAGCAAAAAACACAAGTATTGTTAAGTAGATTTTCAGGATTATGCAAAATAGTTTTCCACACTGTAAAAAGCAGGGTGTATCATTATATTAAATAAAAATAATTCTGTTTTTAATAGGTTTTTGTTATTATTATTTTTCACTAAACTAATACTAATTCTTTAAATTAAATGTTAACTTATACATATATAAGTTAACATTTATTTTAAGTATTGGTATTAGTGTAGTTAAAATCTAATTGAAAAAGTAAGTAATACAAATATAATGTAGATAATTAAAAATGAATAAAAATAGACATGTGACCCTGGAAAAGCTTATTTATTCAGCTTCCATATGATGTATAAATCTCAATTTCGAAAAATTGACCCTTATGACTGTTTTTTTGGTCCAGGGTCACATATATATTAAAAAACACTAATAAATAACAAAAAAACTGGACAACATTATTAAAACTTTTGTTAAACAAAAACAGAAAATTTTATAAAAAACTAAATATTAAACTATAAATTAAACTATAATTTTATCCCCCAATGATACTAAAATAACACTGGTAAAATGTGGTAACCTGCAGCTTTTACCTAATTCAACAACAACAACCAAAAATGTGTAGGTATAGACTGGTGTATTTAGGTTGGTTCAGTGATGTTTAATAAATAAATTAATAATATTTTGACTATTTTTGACATAATTTTGTTATAATTTTTTCAGTGCATATGCAATTTTTTTATTTTAATTTTAAAATCTCTTAAGCAACAGGTTTTGTTGCTGCAGCTCCGTTTGAAAGAGCGTTTGTGTTTGTCTCGCGGTGTAAACATGAGTAATATACATGTACATCAGCCGGACACACAGACAGATATGACAGTTATGAGTTCTCTCTCTGTCTTCTTCACTCAGTCCTTCATCTTCAGGGTTGGCCTATGGTGATGTTCTCCGTCTTTAATAAGCTGTTCTTATGCTAACACAGAGTGACGCGGGCCAGCGGCCCTGCACAGTAAGACCTCTGTGTGTGTGTGTGTGTGTGTGTGTGAGAGAGATGGTCAAGGTTTTAAGATTGTGCATCTGTCTTTATGCAATGGATGGAGATTGTGTGTTTGTGTGAATGCGGTCCTGTCAGAGCGCTTTAGTCTGAAACAAACAGAATCAAGTGTCTGCATATCAAGAGCTAAAGTATCTAGAGTGAAAAGTAAACTTTTTGAACACTGTCACTTTGAGAAATGATTACAGGTGAAATTCCCAGAAATGTCTGGGTAAACCTCAAAAATCACAAGTAACTAAACAAGTATTTTTGGCATAACATTTAAAAAAACTTTTTTAGGACCATATATATATATATATATACTGTATATATTTTGATGCAACGAGGAAATTGTCCATAGGAGAACATTTAGTAGCATTTATTTGATCAAAAGTGCAGTTGAAATATTACAATTTAAATTTTTTACAAAGTTTTCTATGCAAGTATACTGTAAAATGTAATTTATTCTTATCATGCAAAGCTGAATTTTCAGCATCATCACTCCAGTCTTCAGTGTCACATGATCCTTCAGAAATCATTCTAATATGCTAGTTTGCTGCTCAAAAAAAATTTTTTTATTATCAAAGTTGAAAAGAGTTTTTTTTTTCTTTTCTTTTTTTTTTCTGGAAACGCACAATTTTATTTTCAGATTCTTTGATGAATAGAATGTTCAAAAGAATAACATAGAATTGAAATATAATTTTTCATATAATTGTAAATGTCTTTACTGTCACTTTTGATCAGTTTAATAAAATATATAATATTTATTTATTTATTGCTTTAAGGTAATTTTAATTTATAATAATAAATAAAAAATAAAAATGTATTGGTTTAAGGTTTAAGAAATGTCTTATTCCTAAAAACAGGCATAATTTTAGCAAGTCAAATTTGTTGTTCCTTTATTTATTTATTTATTTATCTAAAGTAATGAAAATTAGGTGGCAAATTACGAATTTCTTATTGTTCCTTCTTATTTCTTATTGTAAAATTTCTCATTCCCTTACTTTTTAAAAATTTCATTTTGATTTTAAGGTGGCCTTTAAGATGTTCAGGTTTTCATGAGATTAACTCTTTCACTGCTTCTTGAATGAGTGGTTTGTATGGGACAGGCCGCAATAGAGAAGCATCTGATTCAGTTTACTAGGAATAACTGTGTATATCTGTAGATATTTTCCCTAGAACTCTCTCTCTCTGGCTCGTCCACATCATAACACACTGTCGCTGGTCGATTCACCCAGCCCTATCACACCAACTCAGCTGGAAAACACCCAACAAATAAGAAGTGACAGCTGCTTTGTGCGTGTGTGTGTGTGTGTTTGTCAGTGAGCCTGGATTTCGGCCCGTATGTGGGCACTTATTTAATATACTGAATTTGACTTCTTAAAGTATGGGATAAAAGGTCACATCAGGGCTTGAGAAGAGTGATTAAGCATGTTTCCATGAATACTTGACAACACTCGTAGTGGTTTTCATTAAGAAAATTAACAAGCTTGACCTATAATGATATTCTACATTCATCTACTCAGGCTCTAAAAGAGATAATTTTCATTTTTTAATAATCATGAAAAACTATGTAAAAAAAAAAAAAGGTTTTTGGAGTAGGCTATGTATTACAAAAAGATAATATTTCTGTCATTCTACTTCAAAATTGTAAGTTTTATTCAATGTGTTACTTGCCATTTTTTTTGTATTTATTTGTGAATTTTACTATTAACTTCTGAGTAAAAACTCTAGTAAATCCTATATATCCTGTCCTCGATTGTATTATACAACTCCTTTAAAATATCTAGTACAATTTAACAAGTGTTTTTTTGTTGTTGTTGTTGTCAGTCTTTAGCATATGACAATGGCAAACTTTAAACAGAGATTCCTGGTATCCATTATCACATTACTGAAGATCTTGCTGGCCGGTGATGAGAGCGCTGTTAATGTAAGCAGGTGTCCTGCTGTATAGTCTCAAATCTGTCTTGGTGAGATAAGAAAACCGGACTTATCAAAGGGGTCTGGAAATGGCATCGCAATCTCATTATGCACGAAAATCACCTTCATCTCTGCCTGTCTGAAAACAACCCTACACTGACTTGATCCGCTGATTTACACCGCTTCAAGCTGAACTGCCTGTGGTCTTTAACAGCTTAAACCATTGAAAATAAGAGATTATTCTATGCGAGTTGAAGGAAATGTGCAAGCTTGAAATACTTGCTTTCGCAAAAGCTCAACAGGCTATGCATTATATATTACCATCGTGGTTCATCATTGTTTCACCGCTGAAAGCCTGTAATTGGCAGATCTCAGTCGATGAATTGTTTGTGTTGGGATCTCAGACTGTTACCTTTCTCAGCTGTCAGTCATCGGCTGTTTGTTTTCCATCCTCCGCGTCTTGATGTGCGCGTCGGCGGGTATCTTTGTGTCTGAGATGACATTCTGATTGCGATGACTCTAATTTGAGGATACACATAGACACCCCCAGAGGAAAGGAGCAGGGGCTTGTGGGTAGACTGACCTCTCCTTGATGTTTGGTTATTGGCTATTTAGCAGACGCTTCTTTTCATGCACAGCGACTTACTAAGTACACTTACCACAGGCGAAGTCCTGGGGTTAAACACCCGGCTCAAGGCCACAGTGGGGCAACTTTCCAGGTCATCAATTGCCCCTTCTGGGACCTGCGACAGATTTTAATTAAACTTACAGTAAGCTGACTTTGACTAGAAGGGCCATATTTTATATCTGACATGTCAACCAGCTGCTTACCAATTCCATGAATCTCTGGCAAGTTCAGCGAATAGTTTATCCTCAGAAGATCTCATTATTGCAGATGGAAATGGACTTTGTCAGCTATCCAGTGGCTTTTTTGTGCACAATCTGCATCCAGTGGCTGTGGCATCTGAGGTTGACACTAGTTTCTTGGCATCGCCCACCATTTGAGATATAAATTGTTGTGGCTGGAATGAATTTGTGGTATATTTTAGGGGAAGGTGTCTTGATGCAATTTAATATATATGCAAACTCCATATGACATTCAGATTAAAGTCAGCATAAAATGGCATTAAAATCCATTTTGATGTGTGAAACGAGATTCAACTATAGGACAAACAAAAAAAACTTGAGGCGGGACTTGATTTTATTCATTTGATTTGATCATGAAAATTGGGCATTTAATAGCAAAATTAACCTGAATGTGAGTTTCTGTCCTGAAACAACCAGCATTCAGTGGTGTTGTTTATTGTTAAAATTGTTTACTGTAAAAAAAAAAAAATCTTAAAAATTAGAAATGCTGCCTGCTTGGCATCTAATTGAAATAAGTTGGTTCATAATGGTTCTTATGTGCATTTCAGCAAATCCCTGTTCTGTTAATTTGGGTTTTGATTAGTTCAGCTTATTACTCAAGTCATGGGTTGTTATGGTTATTTTTATATTCAGACAGACGTCCATATATACATCCATTAT